AAAAGAAAAAAAGAAGTAGGGTGCTTGTGTATATAAATTTCAAACTCAGTTTTGGTAAAATATTTTTTCAATATGTTTATATCAGACAAGAGTTAACTATTAATATACTACTCGCCCAAGCTTGTATTGAAAATATGACTAAAGGCTAATAGTATGTAACAAGCTACTGATGGGCAAAGTAACTAGGCAATTGTGCTTAATTAAACACTGTGATTATCCTTAGGACTCTTCATTTTCTCAGACTTTTCAACTTTTTGAAAGTTGTTTTTTCGGCTTTTTGGTAAGACATCCTCCTCAAGTGGGAATTTCGGCTTCAATGTCACCGCTAGCTCGCTCTTCCCAACATTTAAGCTGATACAGTTGTATGTGTTTGTGTTTCATTTCCTCAGCTTTACTATCAACTTTTTTTTTTTGAGACAGAGTCTCAAGCTGCCGCCAATGGTAGAGTGCCGTGGCATCACAGCCCATAGCAACCTCAAACTCTTGGGCTTAAGCTATTCTCTTGCCTCAGCCTCCCAAGTAGCTGGGACTACAGGTGTCCACCACAGTGCCCAGCTATTTTTTGGTTGTAAATGTCATTGTTTGGTGGGCCCAGGCTGGATTCGAACCCGCCAGCTCCCGTGTATGTGGTTGGTGCCCTAGCCACTTCAGCTACAGGTGCTGAGCCTACTATCAACTCTTAATAGGTATAATTTTCTATATTCTTTATATAAAACCTAGAGAATATTCTTCATGGAGAGCATTTAATACAGCATTAATTAATCCAGAAACTTATAATCAGGTGCTATATATGAATTACAAATCAGTGTGTTAGCCCTTTTAATAATGTTTATTTGCTGTCTGTCAGACCTTATCTTTTATGTTCCAGTTTAAGTCTAAGTGTATCTTAATCCTGTGAAGCATTCTGATACTCCCCCCACACAAAAATGACATCATCGTACCTCAAATATAACTCAATTTTAGCCCTCATCACACTGTGTTGTTGTAATTGTTTACATGTCTAGCTTCTCTGTAAGCCGAGATCTTTGAGGGCACATGCCACGTTTTCATTCATCTTTATGTCCCCAGTAAATAATGGGATCTCAGGAAAAAAAGATTTTTACATGGGCCTAATGGCTAATTCATAGACATCATGAAAATGAGAAAATATTTTTAGTTAATTTTATTCGTGGGAAAAATGGAAGTTTTCTGATTTGATTTTTGTTTTTTAAAAATTTTTTATGAAGGATTTTTGCCTTGAATTTTAAAATAACCTCATAGTGAGGAGAAATACGTACCTAAAACGTCAAATGACTAAACCATTGTAACACTGAGAAAGAGATTTATTATTTGCTGTGGTACAGGTATTGAGAATGCTAGTTTTGTTTCAAATTCTCTCATTATATTTGTAAATAAAAGTAGCAGATCTAGGCTCAAGGCATGACCAAATACAATCTAAAAGCCTTTCCAATTCTTTAGAGAGCCATTAGCTGGAAAAGGCTATTAAAGATTCATCAGAATTCAACATGATGTTTTCTGGCAGTTTACCCAAGGGGTTCCCAGATACACTTGGAGGACTCATGTATCAAACAACTAGGAATTGATATCAACCCAATACTTCGCTTTTTCAAATTCCACAAAATCTAGCAATAATAGCCAACAAAGTTGCTTCAGAATTTACTAGAAATTACTAGAGACATAAGGAACTATCTAGAATCAAGTAGTCCTTAAGAAAGGTTTAAAATGCAAAAGGGTGTTGTCTTTAATTGTAAATGATGATTGTACCTTAAAAAGAAGAATTAATATCATGGTCATAAATGTCTTACTCAGACTATCACTAACTATTTAGTGAAATATTTGCATTTATTGTACTTAAATTACTTTAATTGCATTAAAGAAGTATATGAAATTTTCTTTCAATAAACATAAGCATAAAATGTAATATTTGTGTAAAACTATATATAAGGGAAAACCCATATGTAGTTTAAATTCTAAGCTCTTAGAAACACACACACCTCAGTAAATATCAACTCTATATCTAGATGGTTCTTAAGGCTGTCATGAGATGAGGCAGGCTAAACTATTCTGTACAGACTTGAAAAACTTCAATTATTTGATCTATTAAATGTCTTTAAAGTACCATTTAGATGGAATGGAGCACTACAGCTATAACACTGTCTCACAGAAGTGTTTTTATTTCATCTGTATAGGAAATATAATACTTCTCTTTGCTCTTTAAAGAAATATCTTAATAGCATCTTCCTTGAAAGAATATTGAACAGCTTGTGTATTTTTAGGAAATGACACTCTGCTTGCCTTTCAAGCATGAACTATTGCTTGTGTTTTTTAGTAAGGTTTCGGTTTTGTTTTTAAGGAAGTAAAACAGTTTACTGGTCTCAGAGAAGACCCCACTGGCAATCACAGCAGCAATAAAAATAAATTAAATGGGACCTGATCAAGTTAAAAAGTTTCTGCACAGCTGAGAGCACAATCAACAAAGTGAAGAAACAGCCTTCAGAATGGGAGAAAATATTTGCATGCTATCAATCTGACACAGGGCTAATAACCAGAACCTATAAAAAACTCAAGCAAATTAACAAGAAAAGAACAAACAACTCCATTAAAAACTAGGTAAGAGACATGAGTAGAAACTTTTCTCATGAGGATAGATGGATGGCCAACAGATAAGAAAAAACACTCATCATCCCTAATCATCAGAGAAATGCAAATCAAAACCACTTTGCGATGTTACCTAACCTCAGTGAGAATGGCTCAATCACAAGGTCCTAAACAGACGCATGTGTGGATGCTGAGAGAAGAGAACACTCATGCACTTTGGTGGGACTGCAAACTAGTACAGCCTCTATGGAAAGAAGTATGGAGAGTCCTCGAAGAACTAAAGATAGACCTAGCATTTGATCTAGCAATCTCATTGCTTGGTATTTACCCAAAAGAAAAAAGACATCTTAACAAAAGGACATTCGCACTTGAATGTTTAAAGCCTCGTAGTTCACAATCACAAAGATGTGGAAACAACCCACATGCCTTTCAGCACCTGAATGGATCAATAAATTGTGGTATGTGTATACCATGGAATACTTTTCAGCCATAAAAGATGAAGATTTTTGTATCTTTTGCAACAACTTGAACAGATTTGGAGAACATTCTTCTAAGTGAAGTATCACAAGAATAGAAAAACAAGCACCATGTATACTCAGTACAAAATTGAAACTAGTAGATTAACAGCTATATACTCACGTGAATGAAAAACTCAGTTAAATTCGAGTAGGGGTATGGGTAAGTTTCACCCAATGGGTACACTGCTCTGGTACTGTGTATATGGCGCACTTCCTGGGTGAAAGACACAACTAGAACTTGAACTTTAACTTTCCAGAAGCAAACTATGTAACCTAATTGTATATACCCTGCTTTTAGTCTGAAATAAAAAAGAATTTTGTGATCCTAATTTGAAAAATTTAAATGTGATAAAGGTTAATGTCCAGAAACTTAGAAGAACAGTTAACACCATGCATAATTTTCTATCTAAGCAAACTAATTCTTTTGGGTATTAGTGGCCATCAATAAATAAAACTGTTTGATCTATTAAATGTCTTTAAAGTTCCATCTAGATGGAATGAAGCACTACAGCTAACACTGTCTCGCAGTGTTTGAATGTGAATTTCTAAAAATTTGATTGATCATACAGAGTGCCACACTTAATTGTATGTGCTACAGTTATAAGCAATATCAAGTTGGTATTGTTTTTAACCCCTGCTGTGGCTATATATTAATACAACTTATTTGATTCTATATAATAGACATCTATTTTAGTTCTAACTGCCTTTGTATGTTGAATGGTTTCTGTTTTTAAGGGTTTATGCTCCTGAAATCAACCAAACAACCAAATAGATTCTCTACCCTTTTTAATTTTTATTTTCAAGAAGAAATATTTTATGCTTCTCACGCCTACAACACAAAGGCTCTGATTATTCCCCAAAGGGGTTTGGAATGAAAAGTAAGGAGAAATGGCTTGGCACCTGTGGCATGCTCAGTGGTTAGGATGCCAGCCATCTACACCAAAGCTGGCCAGTTTGAATCTGGCCTGGGCCAGCTAAACAACAATGACAACTGCAACAAAAAAATAGCCGAGCATTGTGGTGGACACCTGTAGTCTCAGCTATTTGGGAGGCTGAGGCAAGAGAATCACTGGAGCCCAAGAGTTTGAGGTTGCTATGAGCTGTGAGTCCATAGCACTCTACCAAGGGTGACATAATGAAACTTCTGTCTCCAAAAAAAGAAAAGTAGGGAGAAATGATTCTATAGATAGATATACCAAGCCCTACCCACTTGGAACTTCACTGCCCAGTAGAGAAAATAGAAAGGGAACATGTAATCATAATATAGTATGATAACCCCAATAATAAAAATATGGTACCTTGTATGTACAGAGCAGAATGTGAGGCCCATGAGAGCAAGGACTACATTTGGTCAATCTCTGTGTATCTATTCAGCAGAAGGTCTGGTGTTTAACAAATGTAATAAATCAGTTAACTGAATGAGATTAATTTTGCCTGGAAAAGAGATGAGAAATAAGGAAGTCTTTCCAAAATGAGATTAAATCCAGGTTTTGAAGGTCAAATAGGCAGATAAAAGGAAAAGAGAATGAATGACAGGCATGGAGAGCAGTGCGAGTATAATAAAATGCCATATTATAGCAAACTGCAAATAGTTTAGATTGCTTCAGCCTAATGTGTAAATTAGAGAGCATCTGGAGATGGGGTTATGTCAGTGAAGAATCATAATATTTATATGGGTTTCTTTGAAAAAAACATGAACTTTTTAAAAAAGCACTTTATACTTTCTAAAACATGTCTTGGGATAGCTAAATCACTTCTTGAAAGAACTCTGACATTTTAAAAAGATAATTACAATTATGGTTGATTAAGTATTTTCATTTTAATATTATCTTTACATTTTAGTTTTATATCGTATTTTTAATATACTTGTATATAATTTGAAAACATTGGGATCCTTTGTATAATCAATGATCATTTTATATTCTCGAAGTATAAAGATTTGTAGGACTGATTTCCATGTATGGCATGCAATGTCTAATAAAGTATGACAGCATACATCAAGCTAAGTTATATAAATATATGGAAACCACTATATAAATAGATATGGTCCATGAGCCCTCACTCCTTACACTCATGGGTCTACTAGAACACTCCAGAGATTCTTCCAGGTTTGATAGTGAAGGGCTTAAGGAAAGAACTCAGACAACTCAGACAACAGGAGGCCCAAGTTCAATATTTACATATTACTAATTAGCAACAGGATTGTGGTTGTCTCTTTGTTTCCTCATCTGCTATATAGAGGTGCTGAGTTGAATGACCTCTATTGTCTCTTTAATTCTGAAACTTAATGGTTTTATACATCTATAGTTATAGTTTATGTGATGCTAGAGCCTAAGACTGGAATGTAACCCCCATGTATAGCTACATTTTCCAGGACTGTGTTTTTTTCTAAAAATACGTATTTACCCAGAAAATGTTAAGTACTGTCTATGTGAGATGTAGTTTTTCTTGTTCAACTTTTGTAAGGTCCTTTTCTTCATCTTAAATTTGATGTGTTGGTAGAATAGGTGGAAATATCCAGCATGTAATTTGAAGAATGGGCCTAAAACTCAGGAGAGAAATCAGGGCAAGGGATAGATCCATATAGGTGATTGTTCAATATGAAGCAGATGAGATTACTCAGGAAAAAGTACAGAAGAAAGGGGAAGAGGAAGAACTCTGGAACTACTGGAACTCTATAAGGACATGGAAAAGAAGTAAGGAAACCAAAGAGGAAAGAAAATATAGTAAATTGTACTATTAATATAAGAGTTCAAAAATGAAAGGTACTTGACTGAGAACCAGATAATCTAAATAGCCCACTATATTGTGTTAGGATTCACTACAAAATGAGGATGTCGGCCATTTGTATCTGAGAAGATAGTTTAAGCCATGGGGGGCATGCAATTAAATGTACAAAAGTAAAACTACTGTCAAGTTCCAGTTTTGTTTTAAGTGGTTCAGTCATGCTAAGTGTTGAAGAGGAGTAAGTTTATAAGGTTTGATATCTACATACATTAGCCAAAATGTGATGGTGTGGAGAGCCCTGGCCTCAGAATTACAAATTCTGGGTTCTAGTCCAAACTTGCCATTATTTTAACTATATAACCAGTCGTCTTCTAGGTAGAGATATTTGTAAACAGACAAATTATCAAATTGATGATTCATATGCTGAATATGATCAGAAGTGCTTAGGCAAATGATTTAATCCTCATAGAGCTCAGTTTCTTCACCTCTTAAATGGTAAATTTATGTAGTAGCTCCTCATGCCGTTCTGAATTGTCACAGTGCTATTTAACTCTAAAATACTTGCCTTTAAAGTATGTGAATACCTACGTTGCAGACAGACATATACATACCTTTAACATACACTTTTACAAATTTATTACATAGTACACTGTTTATAAAAATTTCCCTATTCGCCAAGACTGCCATAACCCCTCTGCTGATGAGGTGGAGTAAGACAAACCACATTGAACGCTCTGGGTCACTGAATACTGTGCACTTTGATCTGGTAAGCACTCTACCACCCTTTGAGAGTTCAGAATGTTTTGAAACATGTATTATTTATCTCCTGGAACTACTTTTTCTCGCCATTTAGTGAGGAACAGTTTAGACCCATAGTGAGTGATGAAGACATAGAAGTAAAGACTATCATGCTGATAATTAACTGTAAACTTCACTAAGGCCAGTGGCCTGAAGCACCTCCCTAGAAATGATTGAGAAAAAAGAAGGCAAAGATTGTTAAGCCACCAGTCTTCCCAAAGTACAAAGTGACAAATTGTCAAAGTCCTATTTGTGTCCTTTAATATGGGTGACTTTGTGTTCACAAATACTCATCAAGCTTATACTATGTGTGCCTTGCACAGTGCTAGATTCTAGAGATACATTGTAAACCTAATGAGACATGTCCTTCTTGGATTTTATCGTTTAGTAGGAATGAGATAGTATTCCTACTAAATACTATCTAGGGAACCCATAGAAGGTCAGTTTTGCCCAAGTACAATGTTGATAAATGTTCTACCTGGTTGCTGGCAAAAATTTTATAAACCGTATCTTTGATCACCATCTCAGCCTCTCCTATCCTCACTTTTGCATCTCATTGTAATGATGGTGTAAGAAAAAAGTATTGGAATTATACAGTTAGGTAAAATGAATCTCTAGGAGCATGTTAGTGTGTGTAGTACATGTGGCTGGAGGTAAAGACTGAGAACTCCTGACTTCTGAGTCAGTAATCTTCAAATCTGTATTTGCAGGCTAAACCACATTCTTGAGTAAAAATCCACATTTTTGAAGACTTTTTTGCTTGTTTAATTAGGTGAAATCCACATTTTTATTACTTTTTGTTTGTTTGTAGGTTCAGGGACAAGTTCATCCTACTCTTGAGTCTAATGATGATGCTCTTCAATATGTCGAAGAATTAATTTTGCAATTATTAAATATGCTATGCCAAGCTCAGCCCCGAAGTGCTTCAGATGTAGAGGTATGATAAATTTTCTTTTGTGTTTACATATATAAAGTATATATGTAATCTGTGCATTTTTTACATCAGTGAAGGGGAAAGAGTATATGGTATATCAGAAAACGGAGACTGGATTTATTTTAACTTTGTACAGGTTGTATATCCCTTATTTGAAATGTTTGGGACCAGAAGTGTTTTGGGTTTTGAATATTTTCAGATTTTAGAATGTGAATATTTACAGTACTCATACTTAACCAGTTGAGCATCCCAAATCCAGAAATCCGAAGAGAATTTGCTCTGAGCGTAACGGCAGCACTCAGAAAGTTTTGGATTTTGGAGCATATCAGGTTTCAGTTTGGATTAGGGATAATCAACCTGTATGGTATATGATAGCTAGTATTTTTAGTTATTAAAATATTATTCTATATTTTGCTCTTAAGCTAAAATGAGCTTAATGTTAGAATAATATGCTCATGCCTGTGAAAGTGGGATATGCGCAAGTGTTACGTTCCAAAAACATTCTCATTAATCTTTTAATCTTTGGTTGTTACATGTATTTTAGATTTTAGATGGTAAGTGAATTCTTTCTCACCAATTAAAAGAGAAGGAAACATAAACACGTAGAAAGGAAGTTATGTAATCTCTTATACAGGCGGTATGGCCTGTGTCTTTTCAGGGCTTTAAATTTAGTGGAGATACAGACAGGTATGTAGGCAATAACATAATGTGATATACCATAGATAAAGGGTGTGGGGGAAACCAGGAAAAGTGAAACTAACGTAGATTTGGGGGGTTTGGGAAAGTTTTTCAGAGGAAGAGACATCTAAATTGAGTTCTGAAGTAGTCAAAAGTTTGAGAGGAGGGAAAAAGAGGTTTGGAGTGTACTAGTAGAAAATGGAAACTAGAACTAAAATTAAAAGTTTTCTGTAAAGATGAAGAATCATTTCATTTTAATGACATCAAGTATAGAGTGGTTGAAATCTTTGGATTTCTGTGACTAGGCTTTTGTAGCATTCAGGTGGAACACAAAAAAAGATAAGTGGATTGAGTAGTGTTTTACCATGGAGGTGGCAGAAGGGTAGGAGGGCAAGGGAATTGTAAAAACTGGTAATAGCAGTGTATCCTGGAAAATAGCTTTTCAGCCAGAGAGTTGAAAACCCTTGTAAACTCCATTTTTAACTACAGTAAGTTTTTTCAACATGCTTCTAATTAATACCATTAATTAGAATTAAAATGATCACTTTTTATTTGGCAGCTAATTTAGTCTTGAACATAGATAAAGAGAAAATTTATTAAAATTGAATGAGTGAAACTACTCAATTTATATATTTGTTCATATTATTTTAGAATCATTGTGTTCCTCCCCACTCCCACCCTCAGTATCTCATAGCAGTGTTTATCATTTTACATTTTACTACCAGCAGACTTTTCATTGAGATTTATAATTAGGAATGGATGTTTAATTTCATCTAGTAGTTTTAAATACTATTAGTTGAAAATGGGTCAATTCAAAGTGTACGTGTTGAAGTTATGTAGTGGCGACCTCTACTGGTTTTAATTATAGTATTATACAAGTGGATTTTTAAAATTAGGAGAGTGAAAGCACCTATTGTTTGAAATAAATTACGTTAGCTTGTTTTTGAAGTAAGGAAATTCAGCTCTTAATAGTTACCTGTGTTCTTTCAGTTCATCGGCAATTTTAACAATAACTTCTAGAAATTAAATTGAAGTATTTTGTTAAAACTTAATGACCTACAGAAGACTTTAAAGATAAAGTACAGTGTATTAGAATTGCTGATTTGTAAATAGTTTTGAAGTTAAGTACATCTGCATGATGGATAAAGAAGAAAATTCTTAGAAGTTTTATTTGCAAAATGCTACTTGAGCTTGTAATTAGTATTGAAAGTAAAGACAAGTGAATGAGAATTAGATTTAGATATTTGCTTCTTGATCTTAGGCCTTGTTCCTTAAAATTTTATGAAAGTATTACTTAAACTGGTTTCTGTTCCTTCGTGTCATTAGTCATCAGAGTGAGGAGGAGCTTCAGGATGAGATTTTCCCCCTCGATAATAGAATAATGTTTAGTCTCTTCATTACCCAATTAAGAAACCATCACTGATAATTATAGTGTTTTCTCTTGCCTTAAGTATGTTAGTAATGTAAATTATACACCTGTGAAAAGCTCTGCTTTTGGTACTCTTTGATATCAAAGTATATTTTAAGTGAGGAGCACTGTTTAATACATTTGTTGCTTAGTTGTTATTTTCCTATTTTCCAAGGAACGTGTCCAAAAAAGTTTCCCTCATCCAATTGATAAGTGGGCAATAGCTGATGCCCAATCGGCTATTGAAAAGAGGAAGCGAAGAAACCCTTTATCTCTCCCAGTAGAAAAAATTCATCCTTTATTAAAGGTAAAGCTGAAATACTGCCTTCTTGCCTTTTAAAAGAAAAATAAAACCCACCATTTTTGTACAGTAAGAATATATTTTGTGGGTAGTAGACAACTGCAAAGTAAAGTTCTCTTGTAAGTTTTCCTGAGATTCTTGTGGTTGGGGAATGATACTGTTTTATGATAATGAAACATAAATCGGGAAACATGATTTGAAGTAATTTCACACCAATTGTAGCTTGGCAAATTGAAAGGAGGAGGAAAGTTATTGTGGATTTTGTTTATCTCAGGTGATATTAGACTCACAAAGAAAATTCATAAAATTCCTCCTTTCTTGTCAATTAGACCTAAGTGTTCCTATAAGTCCTTCTGAATTTCCTATTTTGTGTACAGACCTCTGTGAAACTGCCATAGAGCTATGTATAATCTTTGAACAAAAAGGTCCCCTAAACTATCCTGATCTACTTATAATTTAAATAAGTTAGTCAATCAATTGAGTTTCTCCAGAACAAATAGAATAACTGTTGGAGGCTCTGTGCCCAAACTCAGTGGTTACAGCACCAGATTCAAGCCAGCCCAGGCCTGCTAAACAACAATAACTGCAACCGAAAAAATAGCCAGGCATTGTAGCCGGCGCCTGTAGTCCCAGCTACTTGGGAGACTGAGGCAAGAGAATTGCTTGAACCCAGGAGTTTGAAGTTGCTGTGAGCTGTGACACCACAGCACTCTACCAAGGGTGACATAGTGAGACTCTGTCTCAAAAAAAAAAAAAGAATAACTGTGGGAAACTAATAATATGATTTCTGTTTTATTTAATGTAATGAACAAACTATTGATTATTGCAACAAAAATACAGGTATTATAATAAAGTGATAGTGGTAGAAAATCTAGGTCTGCTTCATCTTTTCCAAAATTTAAAGCTGAACACTTGGATGATGTTAAGATTATTTTGCATTCAGTTCTCGAGCTAGAAATATTTACCTATGTTTTACTAACTGGTCTGAGAAAATGTGCAAGTTATGGAAAACTACCACATTATTAGTAATTGCATGTCTTTACAATTCTTTTCATGAGCTTCATTGGCCAAACATTGAGTTATATTCAAAGAGAATTAAGAAGTTGAGGTATATGTATGTTGTGTTGATGATCCTAAATTTTGAGTTTTATTATCTAATTGTGAATATCATTTCGATTAATTTTAAAACATCATTATCATGGTACATTTAATACTTTTTACATATCTTAAAAGCTAAATGAAACCTGTCCCCAGCTTATAATAAACTTCTTACTTCAAAGATTTTTTCCCCCTTAATTGGATTGTTTAGAAAATAAAATTCATTATCCCATAGGAACTAACCAGTCCCACAAAAGCTCATATTCTCTTTGAAGTCTAAAAGCAGAACTGTTTAACGTGCTCTTAACAAAGACCACTGTTCATCGGGACATAGCATGATATTTTTTTCATAGCAATAACAGGGATACCAGGCATGTGTCACTAGGGTTTTGGGAACTTCTCGCCACAGGTTAAGGATTATCTATTTAGTAATCTGTCCTTTTCAAGTATTTTACATGATCAGAAGTGACTTTTTGTCTTGCCTTTTCTTAGCTTACATTTTCAATAGTTAATACATATCCATAGTTGAACCACTTAAAATTAAATGTCATTGGTAATCACAGGCCTCAGTACAAATTAAGCTAAATTGTATGTTTTATTATTTTTAGCCAGTGTGTTAAATTTATAGTATATGATGTTTAAATGTGCTTTTCTTTTAATTTTGCAGGAGGTCCTAGGTTATAAAATTGATCACCAGGTTTCTGTTTACATAGTAGCAGTATTAGAATATATTTCTGCAGACATTTTAAAGCTGGTGGGGAATTATGTGAGAAATATACGGCATTATGAAATTACAAAACAAGATATTAAAGTGGCAATGTGTGCTGACAAGGTAGGAAACTGAACTTCTATGTTCTTAAATTTCTATTTGTGATTTATTGGATGCTGAGATACCATTCAGACAGAATAAAATTCTTTATTATATGTTGGTTAATATTTCTAGTAATCTAATACCAAGTATTTAAGATACCATTTAAGATGTTAGATTTATAATACCAAAATACGTTTAAACATGCCATGTAGTTTTTTCTTATGTACTGCTATAAGTAGGGTTAAGTACAATAATAATCTCTTAATAGTGAATTTCTTAAAATTTTATTTGCATTGGAAGGTTTAAAGGTTATAGATTTACTTGAAAACAGTTTTTGAAAATGTAAAAGCACTAAACAATAGTTTTACCTCCGTACCTAGCTTTCTTTAGATATATGATTTTACAGTAATGATGAGAACAAACATTTATTTAAAGTTAAATATACATATGGGCTTATTTCGTTTGGTCCTTTCAATATCTCTCTAAGGTAGATGATCCTATTTATAGTTTATAAAAGGGAAACAAATTCAGAGAGATAAAGAAGTTACTCCAAAATTTTCTGAGAAGTTTCAATGCCTAGACTTGAACTCCAGATCTATACTAATCTAAAGCTTTTTAGTTATTGCTGTGGGATTTTTTGTTTTATGAAGCCAGGCACGGTGGTTCTAGCTACTCGGGAGGCTGAGGTGGGAAGATTGCTTGAGCCCTGGAGTCAAGGCTGCAGTGAGCTATATCCATGTCAGTGCACTCTAGCCTGGGAGACAGAGCGAGACCCCATCTCTAGAAAAAAGAAGAAAAGAAAAAAGAAAATGACTTTGCAGAAATGAAAATATTTTCTGATGAAGCATTTCATCCCATTTTCCTCACTATGCTCTTATTAATTTGGAATAGTCTTTCTAATTACTGAATCCACTCAGTTATGTTTTAGTGTTTATTTGTTCTTTCACAATGTGGCCATACAGACTTTTAAAAAAATTACCTAATCTGAAGAAGAGTTTCAAATGTTTTGGTATTTTTAAATAAATAAATATTTGGCTTTTAAAACTTCTTTAAAATGAATATAAAACATTTGATAACTTTTAATGAATTAAGTAAATAAAATATTTTTAAGTATCTACTGTGTATACACACAGAGGAGATTCAAGAGAAGCACAAAACAAGGCTCCAGAGTTGATGGAGGACTACTGCTATTCATGAAAACAGCAGAAAGTATAAAATAAAATATTATCTTTTTGTGTTGTAGGGATAATGATACAGTAGAATTTCACAAGAAGGAGAAAGATGATTTTCAGCAAGAGTAATCATAGTAAACGTGTTGGAGAAAATAGGGCTTGTTTTGATGTATTACCAATAAATTCCCCTAAGAAAAGCAGCAACTAGAAGGCCATAAGAAGCACTCAAATGTGAGATAGCGTGGCCACGGAAAAGGTGACGGTCGCAGGGTATGGAACAGAGAAAATTAAGTCAGAAAATTCAAGAAAGGATTTGAAGCAAATTAGAGGTAGCAGGTTAAGAAGTCAGACAGATGGACACTGCTATTGGTAGGGAACTTGCAGGGGTCCTATGTGATGTGAGATGTAGAATTTTGTTTTAGAGAAGTTTTGGAGGGATGGTGGCAATATACTGAAGAGGAGACAATTGTACATCTGCTTTTTATCATTTAAGGACTCTATTCAAAGAACTTAGGGCCTTTAACTTCAAATTTGACTGGAGACTCATGTTTTTCTATACTTTTCATATCTCTGACTATCTAGGTATTGATGGATATGTTTCACCAAGATGTAGAAGACATAAATATATTATCTTTAACTGATGAAGAGCCTTCCACCTCAGGAGAACAAACTTACTATGATTTGGTAAAAGCATTTATGGCAGAAATTCGACAATATATAAGGGAACTAAATCTAATTATAAAAGTTTTTAGAGAACCCTTTGTCTCCAATTCAAAATTGTTTTCAACAAATGTAAGTATCATTATATATATGTCTGTCACTGCATGTAGTATTTAATTTGCATGACCATTTCAAAATTCAATATATTATACTTCATGAATACTAAATTTATTTTTTTAAGTTATGGGACTTAATTCAGGATCACAAATAAAGTGCTATAACAGTTTTAAGAGACTAAAACAACAGAAATTAAAAGACAAAATTCAAAGTAGACTGATTATGTAAATAAATTCACAGAATCTTCCTTATACTCAAAAGAATAAAGCCTCTTATTTAGGTAGAGATATTTTTATTTAATTTGACTCATCTGTGTGTCTTTCAACCAGTACCTCATCAATGCCAATTGCATTGTCAGGTACCATGCTTAGCAAAATGATAATTAGAAACAATTCCTTCAAGTTTAGTGTGGTCAAGACAGCCATGTAAACTTTGAATTGTAATACAGTATGGTAATATTACCATAACAGAAGTATGATAGCCGTATTATTAAGTGCACAAAGGAAGGAGCCAGTAACTTTGAAACTTAGACAAAGGATTATTGATCTTAAATAGTAATCAAACTAACCTAATTGAATTCTGATGAAATGTTGAATGACCACAAATGATATTGTCCAAAGTGGTTACATACTAGTAATTCCTCAAATTGTAGCCACACAGCCAAGTGACAGAGAAACAATGTTCACTATAGAGGCTGAGACTAGAGTTCAAGTTATGGCAATGAGTGAACATTAAAAAGTGAAGGATTAGATCATGGTGATTGTTCTACAAATTTATAAATATACTAAAAACCATTGAATCATTACTTTAAATAGATGAATTCTATGGTTTGTAAATTATATTTCAAAAAAAGTTGTAAAAATAATAGGCCAGGCATGATGGTTTATATCTGTAATCCCAGCACTTCAGGAAGCTGAGGCAGGAGGATCACTCAAAGCCAAGAGTTCAAGACGAACTTGGGCAATGTAACAAGGTCCTGTCTCTATAAAAAGCGAAAGAAAAAAATTTGCCAGGCAGGATGGTGTGCACCTGCAGTTCCAGCTACTTAGACATTAAGGTGGGAGAATCACTTAAGCCCAGAGATCAAAACTTAGTGAGCTGTGAACATGCCACTGTGTTCTAACCTGGGTGACAGAATAAGACCCTGTCTCAAAACAAACAAAACACAAAAAAATTAAAAAAAAATAAGAGTAGAGGAAAGGCAGAAATTTCCCTGGACACAAAAATCAAGAAACAAAAATGGCCGAGAAGCACATCAAAGGTGCTCAACATCAACAATCATCAGAGAAATGCAAATTAAAACCACACTGAAATACTACCACTCCTCAGTAGAAGGGCTAAAATTAAAATAGACTCGTAACACCAAATGTTGAAAAGAACGTGGAGCAAGTTCTTATAAGAATATAAAATTCTCCCATTATTTATGAGAATGTAAAGCAGTGTAAACATTTTAAAAAATAGTTTTGCAGTTTCCTACATTAATAAACATAAATTAACCATACTACCCAGCATTTCTACTCCTAGTTTTTTACCCAAAAGAAATGAAAACATGTCCATATAAAACTTGTTCATGAATATTGGTAGCATATTTATGAACAATATTATTTGTCATAGTCCCACCCTAGAAACAAACGTCTATTAACAGGTGCATGGATATACAAATTGTGGTGTATCTATACAGTGAAACGTAGCAGTTAGGTATGCAACAACACGAATGCATCCCAAAAAATATGAGCAAGGAAACTAGATACAAAGAAAAGATATGATTCCATATATTTAGTATTCTAGAAAAGACACTTCTATAGTGACAGTAGGCAGATGACTGGTTTCCTGGGAGTAAGAGGAGTGATGGCTGATGGGGATTGGGGCACAAGGAAGCTTCTTAAAATTATGAGAAGATTCTGTATCTTGATTATGGTTGTGGTTACAATGTTTTCACCAAAAGAACATTAAAATAGGAACTGGGGGTGATGCCTATAGCTCAATGAGTAAGGCGCCGGCCCCATATACTGGAGGTGGTGGGTTCAAACCCAGCCCTGGCCAAAAACTGCAAAAAGATAAATAAAATAAAAACAAAAAACAAAATAGGAGCTGGGTGTGGTGCCTTATGCATGTAATCTCAGCATTCTGGGAGGCCAAGGTGGGTAGATCCCCTGAGCTTAGGAGTTTGAGACCACTCTGAGCAAGAGCACCCATCTCTTAAAAAAAATAGCCGGGCATTGTGGTGAGCATCTGTAGTTCAGTTACTTAGGAGGCTGAAACAAGAGAATCTCTTGAGCCCAAGAGTTTGAGGTTGCTGTAAACTATGATACCATGGCACTCAACCCCAGGGCAACTGAGACTCTGTCTCAGAAAAAAATAAATAAATAAAAAAGAAGTCTGTTATTGTATGTGAACCATGCCTCAAGTTGATTTGATAAAAATATATAGTAACTGATAAAAATAATCAATTCAAATAATAGTAACCAGTAGATTATAATGTGAAAAAATTGTTGTGGTTTAGATTCTACATTCCAACTAATGTTTAATAACTAACATTTGTTAAATTTTAGAATAATATCATAAAAGAATATGCACTCTACTTATATATGAAGTGTCCAGAATAGGCAAATCCATAAAGACAGAAGTAGATTAGTGGTTTCCAGGGACTAGGAAGAAGAGGAGAATGGAGAGTGACTGCTACTGGGTACAGGGTTTCTTTTGAGGTAATGAAATGTTCTAGAATTTGATACTGCTCATGATTGTACAACCAATACTGAAAACCACTGAATAGTAAGTGCACTTTAAAAGGGTGCATTTTGCCAGGCACTGTGGCTCACACCTGTAATCCCAGCACTTTGGGAGGGCCTTGACAGGAGGATTGCTTGATGTTAGGAATTTGAGCCTGCAGTGAGCTACGATCATGCCACTGTATGCCAGCCCAGGGGGACAGAGTGAGACCCTATCTCAAAAAAGGGAGAATAGGGGTGAATTTTATGATATAGGAACTCAGTAGAAAAAGTACACAGAAAAAGAAAAGGGGCTTGGCACCTGTGGCTCAAGTGGCCAAGGCACCAGCCCCATACACCTAAGGTGGTGAGTTTGAAACCAGCCTGGGCCTGCCAAACAACAATGACGGCTGTAGCTAAAAAATAGCCAGCAATGTGGCGGGCGCCTGTGGTCCCAGCTACTTGGGAGGCTGAGGCAGGAAAATCGCTTGAGCCCAGGAGTTGGAGGTTGCTGTGAGCCGTGATGCCACGGCACTCTACTCAGGGAGATAGCTTGAGCCTCCGTCTCAAAAAAAAAAAAGGACATTTACAATTATTTGAAAATACAACTACATGGCTCCGCGCCTGTAGCTCAAGCGGCTAAGGCACCAGCCACATACACCAAAGCGGGCTGGTTTCAAATCCAGCCCAAGCCCACCAAACAACAATGACAACTACAAACAAAAATTAGCCGTGCGTTGTGGCAGGCGCCTGTAGTCCCAGCTACTTGGGAGGCTGAGGCAAGGGAACTGCTTAAGCCCAGAAGTCTGGGGTTGCTGTGAGTTGTGATGCCATGGCACTCTACCAAGGGTGATATAGTGAGACTCTCAAAAAAAAATAATAAAAAGTAAAATGACAGTAAAATATCAATTTGTGCCTTTTCTAAAAAAAAAAGAAAATACAACTATATATCTGCATAAAGCTAGATTTTTTCATATACTTCAAAATAATGTATCTTAATAGATTGAAAGCAGAAATACATATGAAAATCTTGCTTTTATTAAGCTACACATTAGAAATATGTGAAATAATGACATTCTCCTACTAAATTTTCTTTTGTGGTTGTAGTTACTTTTCACAAAAATTTCATAAAAATGAAATTTATATTAACACAGTAGGTTCATCATTATTTTTAAATGAATTGTTTTTAAAATTTCTTGATTTTAACTTCTAATATGGTGAATATTGATAGATATATTTATAAACAAAAGCTTTTTGGAATCTTCAATAATTTTTGAAGGAGTCCTAAAACCAAACAATTGGAGGTCTACAGACCTAGAGAAATGTATCTACAAGTTGTATATCATTGTAAAAGCAATTACTGAATTATCTTCTGTTAAAATTTGTAAGTCATTAAAATTTCTTACTTTACTTGCCATTTTAAATGACTTTTTGGCTCAAAATTTGTTTTTTTATCATTACACAGCCTTACTGAATTAATCTGCTTCTCCCCAAACAGGATGTAGAAAATATATTTAGTCGTATAGTAGATATACACGAACTTAGTGTAAAGTTACTGGGCCATATAGAAGATACTGTAGAAATGACTGATGAAGGCAGTCCCCATCCACTAGTAGGAAGCTGCTTTGAAGACTTAGCAGAGGTAAGTACTTCAATTAATATATCAGAAAACTCTGCATCAGAGAACATTTGTATTAAAATTGGGAGACTTAATTCTTGAGTCTACCTAAAGTCATGGATATTAACTGATGACTGTTTATTATTGCTTCTTCTTGATAGGTCCTTGTCAACATTTGTTTCTCTTATCTTACCAAAAATAGGAAACGTATTCTCTTTTTAATTATAAAGGCAAAAGATTTATATGATCTGAAGAGAAACCAGAGTTTCTCTCATAGAAAAGCGGATACCACCAAGGGAGGTGTTACACCTGATACCCAGTGGCCTACTGTAAAATCTTACATAATAATGCTAAGAAAAGTCAGTGAATGACCTATCAAGGATGAAGCTATAGAACTTGGATCTCGGGTCAGACTATTTGTGTTCCAGTCTAGATACTACTGTATATTAGTTGTATGACAAGGGCAAGTTTTTCACTTTTCTAAATCTCCAAATCTATTTGTAAAATAAAGATGATAATACAGGTTGAGTATCCCTAATCCGAAAATCAGAAATCTGAAATGCGCCAAAATCCAAAACTTTTTGAGCACTAAAAGATGCTCAAAGGAAATGTTCATTGGAGCATTTTGGATTTCAGATTTTCAAATTAGGGATGCTGAACCAGAAAGTACACTACAGGCATTCCAAAACCAAAAACTCCAAAATCTGAAATACTTCTGGCAGCAAGCTTTTTGGATAAGGGTGACTCAAACTATAAAAGGACTCAGGACTTTTGTAAAAATTAAAAATAACCTATTTGAAGTATTTAGGTAATCTTCACACAATAAGCTACTCAGTATATGGTGACTGCATTGTTATTTAGAACAGGAAGAATTAAATGACTAGGAAAAGAAGGTCCAAGGGCCTAGGTGATTCACATACTATCGCCATGGGGTAGAAAAACAGGTAACCTTCTCCTTAGATATTTCAAAGACTAAAATATATGAGTAAGTCCTAGTAAGTTAGCATGGAGAGTCATTCTGACTCTAAAATCCACTCTAAAATTGTGTTCTCACTCTAAAATCCAGTCTTCTTATAATATAGTATTGAGCTTGTAAAAATTTTTTCTGGGGCAGCACCTGTGGTTCAGTGGGTAGGGCGCCAGTCCCATATGCCGAGGGTGGTGGGTTCAAACCCGGCCCCAGCCAAACTGCAACAAATAAATAAATAAATAAATGTTTAAAAAAATTTTTTTTCTTATAAACTTCTTTTTTAAATTAAGATTTAAGACAAAATCAAATATTAAGTTCAAGCATCACCACATCTACTCCTTTCTTGCTCCAAATAGACAGAAGTAATAAAATACAAAAACTGAGAACATTTGGCTGATCTAAAAAAAAAGTGGAAAACACATAACTAGACTTGAAAAACACATCAGAAATGGAATAGACATTCAAGGTAGGGAGCTCTTGATATGTGGGTTTTTAGGTTCTTAGGGACAATGAGGACTAAATGTGCTGCATGAAAACCAGAGCAAGATCTCTTGCCCCAGAATTCATTTTAACAGAGGATCTTGTTTGGAAGAGTGATTTTAAAGGGATGAGACCAAAAAAGGGGAAAAAAAAGTAAAGGCATCTCCCCCCCCCACTAAGAAACCTACATTAAAAAATCTCAATTAGGCTCAGCACCCATAGCTCAGTGAGTAGGGCGCCGGCCACATACACCGAAGCTGGTGGGTTTGAGCCCAGCCTGGGCCTGCTAAACAACAATGACAGCTGCAGGCTCAGCACCTGTAGCACAGAGGTTATGGTGTCAGCAACATACACCTAAGCTGGTGGATTCGAATCCAGCCTGGGACTGCTAAACAACAACAACTACAACAAAAAAATGGCCAGGCATTGTGGTGGGTGCCTGTAGTCCCAGCAACTTGGGAGGCTGAGGCAAGAGAATCACTTAAGCCCAAGAGTTTGAGATTGCTGTGAGCTGTGACGCCACGGCACTCTACTAAGGGCAGCATAGTAAGGCTGTCTCAAAAAAAATCCCAATTAGACAAATTCTAATTCTCAGAATGTCCAACAAAATCAATAATTGCAACATTCCAGATGAAATTAATTTTGTACAGTTATACAGACTAAAAGTTTTAAGAGACGTTTAGGATGCTCATAGAATTAAGTGAAGATATATAATCTATTTTTAAAGAGGACATTGTAAAACAAACATAGGCAGAAAAGAAACAAAACAGGTACCAAAAGAAAGAAGAAATATTGAAAATTAAATATACAGGCAAATAACTCATTACATAGTATGCACTATGTAATGTGTATACTCGCTAGGCCCAGTGAAGGTTAAAATTAGCCAAGTGCAGTGGCTCTATCTGTAACCATAGCATTTTGAGAGGCTAAGATGGGAGGATTGTTTGAGGCCCGCAATTAAAGATCAGCACGGGCAACATAGCAAGACCCACATCTCAGGAAAATAAAAATTAAAAACTTCTCCAGGCATAGTCCTAGCTACTCAGGAGGCTAAAGCTTGAGGATTGCTTGAACCAGAGCTGGCGGGTTCAAACCCAGCCTAGGCCTGCCAGACAATGACAACTACAACCAAAAAATAGTCGGGCATTGTGGCAGGCATCTGAAGTCCCAGCTACTTGGGAGGCTGAGGCAAGAGAATTGCTTAAGCCCAAGAGTCTGAGGTTGCTGTGGGCTGTGATGCCTCGGTATTCTACCAAGGGTGACAAAGTGAGACTGTCTCACAAAAGAAAAAACCTAATAATAAGATAAAATTAGTAAATTGGAAGATAGAATTGAGTATGTCACTGATAATGTGACATAAGACCAAGATGAATATGAAATTGAAAGTAATAGGCTTGGCCCCTGTGGCTCAAGTGGCTAAGGTGCCAGCCACATACACCCAAGGTGGCAGATTCAAATCCAACCCAGGCCCGCCAAACAACAATGATGACTGCAACCAAAAAATAGTCAGGCGTTGTGGCAGGCGCCTGTGGTCCCAGCTACTTGGGAGGCGGAGGCAGGAGACTCGCTTGAGCCTAGGAGTTGGAGGTTGCTATGAGCTGTGATGCCACGGCACTCTACCCAGGGGGACAACTTGAGGCTCTGTCTCAAAAAAAGAAATTAAAAGTAATAAAGGCTACACTGAGAGTCCTAATAATACACCTCTAATAGGTATTCCAGAAAAAGAGAACAATGGAGAAGCAATATTTGAAGAAATTAAAATTAATAATTTTTTAGAAATGACATTAGTTTCCAGATTAAAAATACACTCCAATTAAAAATTGTTCAGGATAAATAAAAGGAAAAAAACTCATAGCTAAAAACATAATAGCAAAACTATAGAATATCAAGCATAAAGAGAAAATCTTAAAAGCTATGAGAAAAAAAAAGAGAATATTACCTGCCAAAGAATTAGAACAAGTTTCTGTGAAACAACAGAGTTGAGCAGGCAGTTCAGTAGTACTGTCAAAGTACACAGAGGAAATAGAATCCCCAGCTACAGAGTGAGTACAAAATAAAGTTTGCAGAGGAGAACATAAGTTCATGACCCGACCTTGGAACAGACAGATTTGTTAAGCAGGACACAGAGCACTAATCATAAAAGGAAACAATTGATAAACTGAACTTCCTACATTAAATCTAGAACATATTTAAGAGTGAGAAAGCAAGCTGTAGACTAGGAGACAATATTTTTTTAATATACATAGCCAATGGGAGACTTACATCCGGAGTATGTAAAGAACAACAAATCAATAAAAGATGGCTCAGGTTTTTGGGTGTTTTTTTTTTTTGGAGAGAGGTAAAAGACTTTTGAGTAGGTGCTTCACAAAAGCAGAAAGAGTGCTCAACACTATTACTCATCACCAAAGGGTAATTTAAACCATGGCGCAATTGGAACTCTACATTGCTGGGGGTAGGAGGTGAATTCATAATGGATAATTAGTGATATGTTCACACAATGAAATGCTATATGGCAATTAAAAATGAATTACTGATAAAAACAGCAACATAATGTTGGCAAAATAAGAAAAAATAAAGTATATGCTACATGTTTCCATCTATAGGAAGTTCAAAAACATGTAAAACAGATTGTGGAGAATAGTGGTTATTAGACTAGCGGCTGGGGAGCAAGAAGGAGCTTTCTGAGGTGCTAGAAACATTCTATTTCTTTATCTGGTTGGTGGTTACACAAATGCATTGCATACAAATACAAAAAATTTGGTGAAATTTTGTACTTTACATAAATTATACTTTCATTTATCAGAAAATGAGGAAAAAAACCATTTCAGACATACAATGTATGTGCCCAAGAGAGGGTATTCCACATAGAACTCATTGTAAGAAGTATTTAATGATGTTCTTTAGCAAGAAAGAAAGTTGTACTCAGAGAAAACTCCAGAAATGCAAGAATTACTAGTGAGAAACTGATCATTAAATGTGTTGGTAAATTTGTGAGCTACTGTCTTCAAAAGGAAAGGTTAAACTCTATTTCCAGGTATTGAAAACACATTGTACTGTATATAAAGTAGATTTCTATTTGTGATTGAAGAACAACTTTTTATTTATTTATTTATTTATTTAAAGACAGAGTCTCAGGGTGGTGCCTGTGGCTCAGTGAGTAGGGTGCCAGCCCCATACACCGAGAGTGGCGGATTCAAACCTGGCCCTGGCCAAACTGGAAAGACAAGAGTCTTACTTTATTGCTCTGGTGGCTAGAGTGCTGTGGCATCATAGCTCACAACAACCTCAAACTCTTGGGCTTAAGCGATCCTCTTGCCTCAGCCTCCCCAATAGCTGAGACTATAGGCGCCTGCCACAATGTCCAGCTATTTTTAGAGACAGGATCTTGCTCTTGCTTTGGCTAGCCTCCAACTCCCGAGCTCAAGCAACCCATGGGCCTCAGTCTCCCAGAGCACTGAGATTACAGGATTGAGCCACTTCACCCAGACCCTGAAGAACAACTTTAAATTGTTTGATAAATTACTAGATAACCGTATTTGACTTCTTAAAACATTTAGAAAAATCAGCCAAAGGA